AATTTTGATTAAATTCTAAGCATGAATTTAATTATTTTCGTAAATAATAAAACTCATCGAAGAATTTCAATTATTTTTATTACTATTTTAAATTAATAATTGAAAGATTCAGTTATTTTCACAAGAATTGAATTATTTAAACTATAATAATATTTTCATAATATTTATTATATTTCGAAAAAATTGATTATTAAAAACAATGTTTATAAAATTCTTATGAAAAATTTAATTACTTTCAAAAATAATAAAATTTTTCACAGAAATTCAATTCTTTTTAAACATTTTAATAAAATTTTTCGCAATAATTCAATTATTTTCAAAATTAATAAAATTCTTCTCTGTAATTCAATTATTTTTGAGAATTATAATAAAATTCCTAGCAACTATTCAATTATTATTTTCATAAATTTATAAAATGCATAGCAGGATTTTAATTATTTTTAATACAATTTTACAGGAATTGCTCAAACAATGTAATTATTCTTAAAATCTTAATTTTAATTCCTCGAAAAAATCAATTATTTAAAAAAATGTTTTTTAAAAATATTTTTTGGAATGAATGAATAATTATTTTCAAAAATTTAATGAAATTATTCGAAAGAAATTAATTGTTTTAAATACAATTTTAATAAAATTTTTTTGAAATAATTCAATTATTTTTTTTAAATTTTAATAAAATTTTTTCTAAGAATTCAATTATTTACACAAGTAATTTTTCGAAAGAATTCAATTATCATCGATAAATAAGAACAATACTCCCAAAAATTCAATTATTTTGAGGTATTTTAATAATATTCTTTTCAAAATTCAATTATTTTCATAAATAATAAAATGTTTTTTAGGAATTCAATTATTTTCAAAAAAATTCAATAAAATTCCCCACAGACATTTAATTATTGCTAAATTTTTTAATAGGATTCTTTGTAAAATTTAATTATTTTTTAAAAACTTTTCGCAATTCAATGATTTTCAATATCTACTATTTTCATAAAATTTCCAAACAGTATTCAATTATTTAAAAAAAGGTTGGTAAAAATTTTAATAAGAATTCAATTCTTTTCATGAATAATAAAAATTTTCATCAATTCAATTATTTATATTATTTGCATAAAATTATTCGAAAGAAATGAGTTATTTAAAAATGTTTATAAAATTCTTCGCGAGAATTAAATTATTTTTTATATATATTTTAAATTCTTTCATGAATAATAAAATTCGTAGCAGGAATTAAATTTATTAGCAGGATAAGAAAAAAGTAAATATTTTTGATGAAATTTAGGAAAAAGGCAGGAAAATAAAAAATATGGAATGGAATTTTTGTCAATTTTGTAAAGTAAATAAAACGAGTTATTTTTTTATTTTTTTATTTTTTTTTTGACATTAAAAAAAATAACAATAACCCACAAAAATTAATTTTCAAATCAAACAAATGAATGCAGGGGTAAAATTCACTTTTAAAGTTTTTATTGACCAAATTTATTCTATTTCTTATATTTTTAATTAGTTGTTTATTTACTAATTTTTTATATTTGTTCATATTTATTTACTACTTTAAAAAATATTCTTCTACCGAAAAAAGAAGAGAAAAACACAAAATAAACGAAAATAGTGAAAAAAAAAATGTTTTTTATCGATTGAAACAGGTTTTTGCATTATTTATTTCGGTTTGCATTTTACTGTTTTAAATTTTCCACGAGATAGGAGAGTAAGAAGTTGATGGTTTAAATATTCTTCCCCCAAAACGTGCATGGAGTGTTGAATTCTATTAGAGCCACTTAGCCAACTTTCCAGGTCTTGAAGATGACCTGGAAACTAAGTTGAAAACTTAGTGTCATGGTGGAGTGCAATAAATGGCGTAACTATAAAATCTATAACTAGGTTTTTCATTTAGATATTCACCCGGATTAACAAAGTTAAAGTTTACGAAGAAACGAAGATGCGGTTGGAAGTTTATAGGTGAATCTTATTATATAGGCACTCTCTACCGTGAACATTTTATGTGATAATAATTTCTCCATTCTTTTCATTTACCCCCATTTATGTTGAAATTTTTTATTTTTATTTTTTACTCAATAATTATTCAATGCAGAGCTTATTTTTTCAAGATTTTTATATTAAAATCTATAACTTATAGTAGAATCATGTCGTATTTTCTAATTTTGGTTTTGAGAAAATTTTACTTTTTACTGTTACAATTTTTAATTGTATAAATTTTGATTTTTTTAATCTTTTATTTGTAAATTTTGATTTTTTCTTAATTCTACGTAACCTAATTAAAATTTACATTCTACAGGGTTGACACATGTCAGGGAAGTCAGAAAAAGTCAGGGATTTTTATTAAAAGTACTGTAAAAAATTAATTTTTGACAATTCGTAAGAACATTTTTTTTAAATAACTTAATTCTTGTAGAACGATCATAAAATTATTACTTATAAATGAATGAATTATTCAATAAATAATTTTTCTTAAATTTTTCAAAATTAATTGAATTTTAAAAGAATTGCGTTTACAATTTTCATAAATAGATGAATCTCAAGAGGTTTCAATTTAAATTTTATAAAATTTAATTTTTCAATTAATTTAACTAGAAATTTTAAAGAACTTAGATTTTTAATTTATTTTAATAATTCAAATTCTTCTGAAATTAAATTAGTAAATTTTTTTAATATATATTTAATTAATTATTAAAAATAGTGGATTTATAGAAGAATTTTGGTTAGAAACATTTTTAAAAAAATGAATTTTGAAGAAGTTTAAGAATTAAAAAAAAATCTGGTCAAAGCTTTCAATTATCTTTAAAAGTAATTAAATTCTTCTCCAAAATTCAATTATTTAAAAAGAATTGTAATAAAATTCTACCTACGCAAAATATTTAATTATTTACTTTATAAATTTTTTATGAATAATTGAATTATTTTTATAAATAATAAAATTTAATTTAATATGTTCAAGAATTTAAAAAAAGGCTTAGTCCCGTTTACTACTTAAATAAATAAATAAATTTCGTAAAAATTTCAATTATTATTTTCAAAAGTATTAAAATTTTTCTCCAGAATTCAATTATTATCAAAAATTTTTTTTAATTCAACGATTTGCAATATCTAATATTTTAAGAAATTTTTCCAAAAGAATTCAATTATTTACAAATTTTTTAGAAATAATTCAATTATTTTCATAAATAATAAAACTCATTGCAGAATTTTAATTATTTTTAACACAATTTTAAAAAATACAAATTTAAAAATTATAAAAAATATTCCTCAAAAAATGTAATTATTCTTAAAAACTTTATTTGAATTTCAATTAAAATTTTTGATAATAAATTAAATATTACATGCGTTACAGTATGAATTTTTGTAAATAATTGAATTTTGAAAATGTTTCAAATTAAAATGTTTGTAAATTTGAATTTTTCATACTGTTAAGTAGCAATTCTGTAGAACTAATTTCTTTGAAGAAAATACAAATTATTGCAAAGATTCAATTATGTTAAAAAAGTAAAAAAAAATTCTGTTCAACATTTCGATTATCTTTAAAAACAGTAAAATTCTTCTCCAAAATTCAATTATTTTCATAAATAAAAAAATTTTTTACAGAAATTGAATTATTTTCTTAAATAATAAAATTCTTTTTAGGAATTGAATTATTTTCATAAATAATAAAATTCTTTTTAGCAATTCAATTATTTTCATAAAGAATAAAATTCTTTTTAGGAATTCAATTATGTATTTTCATAAATAATGAAACTCATTGCAGAGTTTCAATTATTTTTAATAGAATTTTAATCAGCTTCTTAAAAAAATGTTATAAATAACATAACATAATAACATAATAACATTTATGTTTTTTTTTATGTTTTAATTATTTTTTAAAATGTTATTAAAATTCGTCGACAGAATTACATAAACTTCAAAATTGTTTTGATAAAATTCTTTATGATAATTCAATTTTAGCAAACATTCAATTATTCCATAAATTATGTATTTTTGTATTTAAATAATTGAATTCTCGTAGAATTCGCAAATAAAAATTGATTTAAAAATGATTTTCAGTTAAAATTGCAGATAATAATTAAATATTAAAAGCATGAGAGTATGGATTTTTAGAAATAATTAAATTTTGAGAATGTTTCAAAATAAAATGTTTGAAAATTTGAATTTTCCATATACTTTTAACGAACAATTCTGTAGAATTAACTTCTTTAAAAAAGCTTAATTAATTTTTTTTTCTGAAATTATCTCTGAAGTTTGTATTTTCTAATATATATTTAATTGAAGAATTTCCGAATGATGGAAATTTCGTAAAATTTAATTCTAAACAAATCGATTTGAAAATTCTCAAAGAACTTTTTCAAAAGTTATTAAAAATATTTTATTTAAAGAAGAATTGAAGTTAAAAATTCTAGAAAATTATAATTGAATTGAATTGATGAGAATAAATTTGAAGAAGTTAGAGTAACGATATTCTTATAATATAAAATAATAATTTTATCACTCAATACTCTTTAATTATTATAAAACATAAAGAAATCGATCGATATCTTCATGTTTTATAAACAATATTTTTAAAGTTGATTAATTTCAAAAAAGTTCGAATTTGAATGTTTTGAAAATCTTAATTCCCATGGAAAAATAATTAATAATTAAATATTGATTTTAAATAAAATAATTGATGTTTTGGAATAATTCAAATTTAAAAGAAAAAATTTAGTTTAAGAATTCTTTTTAATAGGCAGATTTAGAAAGAGAAAAAGAAAAGCGAAGACTTTGGAGAATTTTTCTAAACGTTTTTATTAAATAAACAAGGATAATCTAGTTTCGTGTAGAAACAATGTCTTGTCTTTGATGATACCTCGAGGGTGCTAGTTGACTAACGAACTACGTGACAATAGAGCTATAGATATTGTTTGTAGTATTATACGGGGTTGTACACAGTTGTTGTTCTTGTTGTTGTTGTTGTTGTCGTTCATGTGTTGAATCTTGTTGCTTTTGCTTCAAAGGTACAAGGCCATCACGAAGCCACTGGAATATGGGGTAAAGAGAACACCACGACGAATGATCGGCTGGGTTGCTCTTGTATGGTGCATGGCTGGCTGTATCAGTTTAGCTCCCTTGTTGATACTCGGAAATGAGTACAAGACTTCCGAAACTGGACGCATCGATTGTTCCGTTTGTCAAAATTCATGGTATCAATTTTATGCCACCATGTGCAGCTTTTATATTCCAACGACCGTCATGATTTATGTGAGTATTGAACAAGTTTTTTTTTTATTAACTGAAATTTATGGCGAACTAAAATTTATTTCAAACTCAAATTTACTTCAAAACTAAAATTCATTTCAAACTCAAATTTATTTTAGAGTAAAATTCATTAACTAAAATTGATTCACCTTATTATATTTTTTACATTTTTCATTTTTACTCTTCTTTTCTTGACTATAACACTAAAACTAATTAAAATTTTAATTAATTAGAGGTAAATTTTTCCACTTTCTATGTTTTAATATTATAACAAATAAATAAAAAAACAATGAATTTTATTAATAATTTAATAAACAACTACCAAAAATTCGCGTGCGGCTGACTTCACACACTTTTTTGAATAAAATTAGTAATTTTAAGAATAATAGAACGTAAAAATGTTTAATTAAATTTCTTTTTTGTAAAAATAAAATATAAATTAAAAAGTATAGTTTTAATATTATTATAATTATAATAATCAGATATTCTGACATAGGGAATTAAGGAAAAAGTCAGGAATTTTTATTAAAAGTACTAAAAAAATTAAATTTTTAGAATTCATAAGAAAATTCTGAATTTTTGTGTCTTTTTTGTTTGACTCATAAACTATAAAGTTATCACGTATTCTAATAAAAAATCTTCAATTTTTTCAATTTCTGTCAAAAATTTCTTTTTAAATAACTTAAATCTTGAACAACTATCATAAAATTAATAAATTATTTAATGAATAATTTTACTTAAATATTTCAAAATTAATTCAATTTTAAAAGAGTTGCAATTACAATTTTCATAAATAAATGAACTTCAAACGGTTTCAATTTTGAATTTTCGAAAATTTCAATGTTGAATAAATTTAATTAGAAATTTTAATGAACTTAGATTTTTGAAAAATTTTAATAATTCAAAATCTTCTAAAATTAGTTAAATTTGTCAATATATATTTTATTAATTATCAAAAATAATGGATTTATAGAAGAATTTTAGTTAAAAACACTAAAAAAAAATTTCATTTTGAAGAAGTTACAAATGATTGCAGAAATTCAATTTTTTTCTAAAGTTATAAAATTCTTATCACAAAATTCAATTATGTAAAAAATTTACAAAAAATCCTCGACAAAATCCTAATTATTATCTTTATAAATAAAAAAATTCTTCAAAATTCAATTATTTTCAAAACTTTTAATAAAATTCTTGACAAAATTTCAATTATTTTCAAAAATTTTCTATTCTAAAATTTTTATTAAAATTCGTCAAAAGAATTTAATTATTTAAACATTGGTAAATAGAATTATTTATAAGAATTAAATTTTAAGAAACATTCAATTATTCAATAAATAATTTACTTTTGTATTTAAATAACTGAATTCTCGAAGAATTTTCTAATAAAAATTTGTTTGAAAATAAATTTTAGTTTAAATTGTAGATAATAATAAAATATGAAAATAATTTTGAAGAAATTACAATAATAATATTCTTATAATATAAAATAGTGATTTTAACACTCGATTCTCTTTAATTATTATAAAACATAAAGAAAACGATTACTCCGAGTCGAAGACAATATTTATACAATATTTTTAAAGTCGATTAATTTCAAAAAGGTTTAAATTTCAATGTTTTAATTTTTAAAGAATCTAAATTTCTATGGAAAAATAATAATAATTAAATTTCTCAGAAAGAAATTATTGTTTTCGAATAATTTTACAATTAAAGATATTTGTGAATAAATTTACCAGAACATTTTTTTAAATAAAATTTTTTCCTTTAATTTCTAAAATTTCAAAAATTTTTAGTTTCATTTTTAATTAAATTTTCTAATTGACAAATGTAATTTATAAACATTTTTTTCTATATTTTTAAAAAACTTTGTATTTTATTAAATCAATTGAAATTTAGAAATAGAATTGATGCAAATTATTTCCTTATGAAAGTTGAGAATTTTTTACAAAAATATTAAGAAACGAGAATATCTAATGTTTTTCTTCCCAAAAGAAAAAAATGAGTTTGTAAACAATATTGTTATTTAAAAATAAAAATTATGCATAAAATGGGTATATTTCCTACTTCTTTATCAAAATTTTTTAACAATTAACAATTTTCTAGTATTTTTTATAAATAAAAAGGAGAATAATTTGCATAATAATTTAGATCAGTTAAACGAAATTTGTAAAAGAAAAAAGCACATAACAAACAAAATGGGTATATTTTTTATTTGTTAATCATAATTTTTAAAAAATTTTCTAATTTGTTATATTATTTTATTATAAATCATGAAAAAGTACCTGCATATTTTTAATTTGTCAAACAATATTTTCTAAAAAAAAAAAAAATCACATACAGAAACTAACTTCAAACTGCGGACAGAATGAATGAAAGAATACGGAGAATAAATATAGTTAATTTTTAAATGAATTTCAAAATTCAATTTAATTAAAAATAATTTATTAATAAATTTCTATTAAAAAAATGTTATTAATAAAGTGTAAAAAATGTAAAGAAAGTTGTAGAAAAGTGTAAGGACGAAAATAAACTAAAATAAGTAAAAAAAGAATATATTTTTCTATTTTCATGTTTCTAATTTCATTTTCATGTTACCAAGAGAGAGAATTTTTAAAAATTCATAAATTTTCATTCAAATTAATTAATTTCTTTTCTCAATGAAAATTTAATACTTTCGTATTTTTAAAATTGTCATTTTAATTAAAACGTGAAAAGAACATGTAATCGAGTTTATTAAATTATTTTCCTTAATTTTCCACAAAGTTAATACAACGACGAGAATAAAAGTTTAATAATAAATGGATTTATAAAAAGTTTATTGGAAATTGATGCAAACAGAATTGTTCTTTATTACTAAAAAAAAGGAAAGAGAAATATTATAGATTTTTCTTCATTGTTACTCAGAAACAAGAGTGAAAGAATATTAAAAAAATCTGTAGTTGTAATAAAAGTGTGTTAAAAAATATTTTTTCTTTTCCTAAATAGAAAGAGAGAAAAATCTTTTCATTTTTAATGAAATCGTCTATCTCTCTCTCATATTAAATGTTGACAAAAATTTGTACACTAACAGGAGAAAATGTTTAAAAATTAATTTTAATAAAACGCAACCGAATTATGCGCGCATCGGTAAAAATAATCCATAAGAAATGAAAAACTCGGCTAATCCGACAAAATTAAAAGTAACTTCCCATCTCTGAAAAAATTTTTCTGCTTTCTCTCTCTCTCTCTCTCTCTCTCTCTCTCTCTCTCTCTCTCTCTCTCTCTCTCTCTCTCTCTCTCTCTCTGCTTCCAAGAGATTAACATTTTTAGATTTGAAACTTTTTTTTCATTTTTTTTTAATTGCAAATAGTTTAAACTTTAAACAAATTTTTTTGATAAATAGTTCAAATTTTTCTTAATAATTAATTTTTCCTAATAATTAAATTTAATTGATAATTAATTGATAATTAATTTGAATTAGGAATTAATTTTGTCGATAATTAATTTTAATTAATGATTAATTTTACTTGATAATAAATTTTATTCAGAATCATTTATTAAAATGATTTTTAAAAAATAAAAAAAATCCATTTTTGGTGTACATTTAAGAGCTGAAATCTAAAGAATAATAATATCGTTTAGCATAGTAAATGATTCATTTGGAAGAAATGTTCTCGTTGAATGTATTATAGAACTGGGAATTTATTGCATTCGACTCAAAAAAGAACGAACCACAAATTAACGCTCGAGTAAAACTAATGATATTTAAATGCTATTTGCATAAATATTCTATATATTTCTCCTTAAAATATTCTCTATATAACATTTCTCGAGTCGACAAATTCAAATTCAATGAGAATCTGTTTTTAGTTACTCTTGAAATGTTATATTCAATTCTCGACGCCAAATTCTCTCATCCTCTTTCGAGAATGAAATTTCCCTTTCGTTTCTGTTTAATGAAAGGTCAAGTTTGCCGTTCACTTTGTCGTGAATATTATCGTTTCGAGAAAATTTATCAGAAAGCTCATATTAAATTTTACCATAATTGTAATTTTTTTTTTGTTGCACTGGAAAAAAATTTTCTTTTGATTCAAATAAACGATTACTTATTGTCGATTTATCAGTATTTATAATTATTATAATTATTATAATTGCTATAATTGTTATAATTGTTATAATTGTTTTAATTTTTATAATTATTTATATTTTCTATAATTTTTACAATTATTAATAATTGTTATAGTTATTTATTATTATTTATTTTTAATTGTTATATTTTCCATAATTTTTACAATTATTATAATTTTTATGATTATTATAATTTTAATATTTTTCCTATATTTTTTTAATAAAATATTTAATAAATTTTGAAATTTTCTTTCAAAAGGTATACTACATGATCTTTCGGGCTGCCCGTAAAATAGTGTTAGAAGAAAGAAGGGCACAAAGTCATTTGGAGGCGCATTGTCATTTGGACATTGAACCGCCGCAAAATCTCTCTGTACCAGTGATAACTCGTCCAAATAATTCCGATGGACAAACAACGCACACGAGTTCACCTTTGAAGCAACATAGAAGTTCCAGTGCATCGACCACGGTAAGCGACAATCAATTATATTCTCTTTAAATTTTATTAAATTTTCTATCAATCAAACTACAAAATTAATATTTAGCAAAATAGAAAATAAAAAAGATAAACAAAAATAAATATAAATAAATATATTTTATTCTATATAAAATAGAGTAAAATAAAAATAATAATAAATAATAAAACAAAATAAATGAAAAAGAAAAACAAAAATTAACACGAAATTTCCTCTAAGTAGGGAAGACCGCGGCTACATGCAACAGCGGTAAGTTGCAAAAAAATCCTTTTAAAAGCTTATATTGCAGTAGATACTAGATTTTTCTTTTTCTCATTTCCCAGCCGGCTTTATTTAGTTTCATGAATTCATTTATCATTTAGGAAATATGAATTGCTTTTAAAGAAATGTCACTTTTAAAAATAAAATTTTTATTTTAGAAATATTTTCAGAATTTAAAAAAATACTAGATGCAAACAAATGCGGCAATTGAATATGAAATATAAGCTGTTAAATTATAGGAAAATTAATTTTGAAGAATATAATTAGAATTAATTGTAGTTAATGCAAAATTACTTTTTTAAAATTATTATTTTTAAAGTAGTTTTAAATTGAAACGACAGATTTTTCTTGAAAAATCAACTATTGTGAATCAGTCACTAATTCAAATAAGCTAAAATTTACTGATTCTTTAGTAAAATTTTTCTACTGTTAAGTCAGTCAATTTTAACCGCTTTGAAAGCAAAAAGTCAGTTACTGATTCAAATAAGTGGAAATTTTAATATTAAATAAACTTTTACGTCCGAGATTAAATTTAAATTTCTTTAATGTTGAATCAGTAAATTTTAACTGATTTAAAAGAAGAAATTTATTTAGTTAAAACTTTAAATTTCAAGTTAAACTGATTGAGACTTGGAGAGTCGGATTTAAAAGTTTTAAATTTGGGTTAAATTTCTGAATTATTATTAATTAATTAACTTTATTATATTGAAAACAAAAGAAAAATAAATAAAAAAATATTGTTAAATTAATTGCAAACATAATTAATCGCAGTGTAATAAATCTTTTTCTATTGTGAGCACACAACATGAAAGTTGTGAAAGATTGATAAGTAATATATGGAAATTTTTCTCCATTCTATTAAAAATATTGTTAAATAGATGAAGGTTGTTGCTGTGTATAGGAAATTAGCATAGTTGTTCAAGATATGTAAATGAGATTTTAGTCACGAGTAAGTTTACGTTGAATTTGATTTATGCAATTGAATTTCAGTATATAAGCTTTGTTTTCTCACAAACAAGGAATAGTATCAGGTTTAGTTACTTCCGCGAGTGTAAATCCATGACAGACAAAGAGCAAAGCATCTGTTGTGTGTTTACATGCTCACCGCAATTTTCCGAGGTTGCCTATTTCTATCACGCTGCACTCTCTCTCTCTCTCTCTCTCTTTTCTCTCTTTTCATTCACTCGAATACATCTGTTATTGATATATTTTTCTTATATCGTTCTTCATTCACTGTCTCTCGCTTAATAATTAATTCCAATAGACGGGTTTTTTATCGATTTAATTAAAAATACATAAGCTTTCATTAAATAATTTTCTTAACAGCAGACTAATTAATTTTCCTGTTCACTTACTTATCAAACGATGTAAATTCAAATTTATAATAGAAAATTAAATTTTTTATTAATAAAAAATATGTTATTAGAAAATTAGTTATTTTATATTATTATTGTTAATATTACTATTATTATTATTATTATTATTATTATTATTATTATTATTATTATTATTATTATTATTATTATTATTATTATTATTATTATTATTATTATTATTATTATTATTATTAGTGTTTTTAAAAAGTAACAAATGTTACAAAAATTTTTTAAAACTGCCAAAAAATGACATTTTTTGCTTAAATTAAAAGAACAATGATTTCAACTTTCCTGTCTGACCGAAAGTGACTTATACTACTGAAAAACAAAAATGTTTCACTATGTTTGAAACTACTATGCTTGAAAGTTTATGTCCGACTAAAACTGACTTGCACTACTTGAAAACAATAATTACAATGTTTGAAACTGTTTCGTCTGACTGAAAATGATTCTTACTACTGACACAAGAAACTAAAACTAAAATGGATTTTTAATACTGTACCGAGTAACAAATTCTGACTAAAATTGGTTTTTACTACTGTTGCCAAAATTAAAGAAAATTTTAAAAAAGTTTTTGATTATAACTGAGACTTACTGTTACAAATACAATTGCAATGCTGTTAAAATAAATGAATACATAAATAAATAAATAAATAATTAAAAAAAAAAAATTAATAAAGAAAAACTTTTTTGTCTGACCAAAAACTTACTTATACTACTGAAAAACTATAATTACAACTGGTACTAATCTTAAAAAACATGTCTGACTCAAATTGATTTTTACTACTGTACCAAGTACCAATTTCAAATTTTACTGTCTGACGTAAATTCATTTTTACTACTGTTACAAAAATTAAAAAACTTTAGGCAAAAATTGTCACATGAAATTAAAAAATTTAATTAATTCACTGCTTTAAAAAAATTAAAAATATAAATGAATTAACTTCCACAAGAAATTAGAAAAACATAAATTAATCACAATTGTTACATTCTACTGTTTTATTTAATAAATTAATTACATTTTTTATTAACACAAATAGAATTCAATTTACAAATTTTTTCAGTGTAAATTAAAAAAATTTATACCCATTTTATGCATAATTTATATTTCTCAATAACAATATTGTTCAGAAACTCATTCTTTTCTTTTTGAAAAGAAACATTATATATTCCATTCTATGTTTCAATTACAAATTTTAATTGAAAATGAAAATATGAAACTTTTTAAATTTTTAGAAAATAAAGGAAAAAATTGTACTCAAAAAAAAAATGTTCTGTTAACATTTATTTATACGAATTTCTTTAATTGTAAAATTATTCGAAAACATGAATAACTTTTTTTAAAATAAATATTTAAATATTATTTTTCCGTAGGAATTAAAATTTTTCAAAACATTCAAATTCAAATCTTTTTAAATTCAATAACTTATAAGAATATTTTTATAAAACATGAAGACAGCGATTGCTCCGAGTCGAAGACTCGGAGTGATCGATTTCTTCATGTTTTATAATAATTAAAGATGACCGAGTGATAAAATCATTTTTTTTATATTATAGGAATTTTATTACAGTAACTTTTTTAAAATTATTTTTTCAAATCAATTATTATTTTCTACAATTTTTAATTATAAAATAAATAAATAAATAAATTTAAATAAATAAATAAATACATTTTTAATTAAAAATAATTTAATTACCTACTTAAAAAAATTTATTATTTATAAAAATAATTAAATGTTTGCGTACTATTTTTTGGAATTTGAAATTGATTTGAAAATAATTGAACTTTGAGAAAGAATTTTGTTATTTTTAAAGTTAATTGGGATTTTGACGAAATTTTTTTTTTTTAAATTTGTAAGATAATTGAATTTTATGAGAAGAATTTTATCACTTTTGAAAATAATTGAATTTCTGCAATTGCTTGTAATTTTTCCAAAAATTGGATTTTTTTAGTGTTTTGAACAAAAATGTGGATTACAAATTTTTAAATTCTAATTTTGAAATTTATAAGTTCACCCTAAAATGGTAGCCGCGCGCTTCAGCGCTCGAATTGTTGACAGTTAGAGACAATATTCTTTAATTAAAGAAATTAATTTTTTATTGAATTTTTTTATTTTCGAGTAATTATCAAGTTTTATTTTATTTTTTTTGATAATTTTTTCTTGTTAAATATAAAAGAAAAAAAATTGGATTCGCTAAAACTTTTCGCATGAATTGAAGATTTATATTGAGACGAGAAACTTTAGTTCTTATTTCTAGAATTGTTTACACTCAACAAGTAATTTATTTTTAAATAAGTGATGGTCTATATATTCGCAACTATTTGAAATTACTTTCAATTGACGTAAAGAAGTTGCGGTTCGAGGAGCTTCCTGCTTTGGCATAAATTCCGATAATAATCCAATAATAGCTGAAGAGGTTGGGAACGCTTAACGGTTACACAGGTGCCAATAGCAATACAACCAAAGCTCAGCTTTATGCAGTGCATTAAGACCGCAGTTTCTTAGTTCAAATCGTTGACTAATATATTCTTTAACATCTTTACTAGTATTTTTATTATTATTGTTATTATTATTTCTACTATTGTGTATTTTATTAATAATTATTAATAATAATATTAATAATATTAATAATATTATTAATATTATTATTATTATTATTATTATTATTATTATTATTATTATTATTATTATTATTATTATTATTATTGTTATTATTATTATTATTTCTACTATTGTATATTTTATTAATAATTATAATTAGGTGGTATTAATAATTATTAATACTATTAATAATTATTATAAATATTAATAATATATTCGTGTGTAGTCCTTTTTATTACTAAATAATTTATTTATTTTGAGAAATAAATGTGACAAGCTCCTCTTCGATAATTAAAAATTCGTTATAAGTAGTAAAAGTTAATAATAGTCAGACAACGTATTGTCTTGGTATTAAATTAGTATATTTAAGTAGTAAGAGTTAGTATAAGTAGTATAAGAGAATTTTAGTCAGGCGGAAAATGGCCAATTTCTTCTTGAATTATCGTGGAGTAGTAAAACGAATTTCCAGTCAGCCAACAAACTTTGTTCTTATAACTTTAGATCTCAGTAGTATAAGTCAATTTTAATCATCCGTGTGTAATAAATTGGGATATTTTTATCAGTAATAAAAATCAATTCTGTAAGCATTTAGCTCATAATGAAATATAGTTTTTAGTGTCAGTAATTTAGTAATTTAGTACTAAAAGCACTATTAGGTCAGACATAAAAATTTCTGTCTTTTTATTTTTAAATCAGTAGCTAAATTGCAGCATATAGTCGGACAACAAAACAAATGTGTAATTTTATTTACAGTAGTATAATAAAAATTTAGTCAGACACATTTTTTTGTGTTTATTTTTTTCTGCCGCTGCAGTAACAAATTATTAATTTTCAATTCACTGTCAGTTTTTAAGAAAAATAAATTTTTGTTAAATAAACAAATGTTTATTCTTTTTAATACATATTAAAGCGAAGTAAAAATATTATTCAGTAGTATAGAAAATAATATTTGCACGCAATTGATTTTTAAACATATAAACTCACTGACATTAAAGAAATAATAAATTTT